AGCAGTGATTTGTAGATCTTTTTGAAGAAGTCCTTCACATCCTTTGTTAGTTGTATTCCTAGGTATTTTATTCTCTTTGTAGCAATTGTGAATGGGAGTTCGCTTATAATTTGGTTCTCTGTTTGTCTGTTATTGGTGTGTAGGAATGCTTGTGATGTCTGCACATTGATTTTGTATTCTGAGACTTTGCTGAAGTTGCTTATCAGCTTGAGGAGATTTTGGGCTGAGACGATGGGGTCTTCTAAACATATAATCATGTCATCTGCAAATAGAGACAATTTGACTTCCTCTTTTCCTATTTGAATACCTTTTATTTTTTTTTTCTTGCCTGATTACTCTGCCCAGAACTTCTAATACTATATTGAATGGAAATGGTAAGAGAGGGCATTATTGTCTAGTGCCAGATCTAAGAGGGAATGCTTCCAGTTTTTGCGCATTCATTATGATATTGGCTGTGGGTTTTTCGTTAATAGCTTTTATTATTTTGAGGTATGTTCCATTGATACCTAGTTTATTGAGAGTTTTTAGCATGAAGGGCTGTGAATTTTGTTGAAAGCCTTCTTTGCATCTATTAAGTTGATACTGTGGTTTTTGCCTTTGATTCTGTTTATGTAGTGGATTACATGTGTAGATTTGTGTATGTTGAACCAGCCTTACAAACCCGGGATGAAGCCAACTTGTTCGTGATGGAGAAGCTTTTTGATGTGCTGTTAGATTCAGTTTGCCAGCATTTTATTGAAGATTTTTGCATCGATGTTCATCATGGATATTGGCCTGAAGTTTTCTTTTTTAGTTGTATCTCTGCCAGGTTTTGGTATTAGAATGATGTTGATCTCATAAAATGAGTTATGGAGGATTCTCTCTTTTTGTATTGTTTGGAATAGTTTCAGAAGGAATGGTACCAACTGCTCTTTGTACGCCTGGTAGAATTTGGCTGTGAACCCATCTCGACCTGGAATTTTTTTACTTGGTAGGCAATTAATTGCTGCTTCAACTTCAGACCGTGGTGTTGGTCTATTCAGGGATTCAACTTTTTCCTGATTTAGTCTTGGGAGGGTGTAAGTATCCAGGAATTTATCCATTTCTTCCAGGTTTACCACTTTATGTGCATAGAGTTGTCTCTAGTAATATGTGATGGTAGTTTGTATTTCTGTGGAATCAGTGGTGTTATCTCCTTTATCATTTTTTTATTGCATCTATCCGATTCTTCACTCCTTTTCTTTTATTAGTCTGGCCAGAAGTCTATTTTCTTGATCTTTTCAAAATAACAACTCCTGGATTTATTGATTTTTTGAAGGGATTTTTGTGTCTCTGTCTCCTTCGATTCTGCTCTGATCTTAGTTATTTCTTGTCTTCTGATAGCTTTTGAATTTTTTTGATCTTGCTCCTCTAATTCTTTCTATTTTGATGATGAATTACTGATTTTAAATCTTTCCTCACTTCTCTTGTGGCCATTTATTGCTATAAATTTCCATCTAGACACTGCTTTAAATGTGTCCCAGAGATTCTGGTATGTTGTGTCTTTGTTCTCATTGGTTTCAAAGAACATCTTTATTTCTGTCTTTATTTCATTGTTTATCAGTTGTCATTCAGGAGAAAGTTATTCAGTTTTCATGTAGTTGTGTGGTTTGGAGTGAGTTTCTTAATTCCGAGTTCTAATGTGATTCTACTGTTGTCTGAGAGACTGTTTGTTATGATTTCTGTTCTTTTCCATTTGCTGAGGAGTGATTTACTTTCAATTATGTGGTCAATTTTAAAGTAAGTGTGATGTGGTGCTGAGAAGAATGTATATTCTGTGGATTTCGGGTGGAGAGTTCTGTAGATGTCTTTTAGGTCCGCTTGGTCCAGATATGCCTTCAAGTTCTGGGTATACTTATTGATTTTCTGTCTTGTTGATCTGTCTAATATTGACAGCAGAGTTTTAAAATCTCCTACTATTGCATGGGAGTCTAAGTCTCTTTGTACATCATTAAGAATTTGCTTTATGTATCTGGGTGCCCCTTTATTGGGTACATATATATGTGGGATAGTTAGCTTTTCTTGTAGCATTGATCCTTTTACCATTATATAATGCCCTTCTTTGTCTGTTTTGATCTTTGATGGTTTAAAGTTCATTTTATTAGTGACTAGGATTGCAACACCTTTGTGTTTTTTTTTTTTTTCTCTTCAATTGCTTGGTAAATCTTCCATCCCTTTATTTTGAGTCTATGTTTGTCTTTGCTTATGAGATGGGTCTCCTGAGTAGAGCACACCAATGGGTTGTGACTTTTTTTCCAATTTGCCAGTCTGTGTCTTTTGATTTGGGCATTTAGGCCATTTATATTTAATGTTAATATTGTTATATGTGAGTTTGATCCTGCCATTTTGTTACTGGCTGGTTGTTTTGCCCTTTAGTTGATGTAGTTTCTTCATTGCATCCTTGGTCTTTACCATTTGGTACATTTTTGCATTGTCTGATACTGGTTGTTCCTTTTCATGTTTATTGTTTTCTTCAGAAGCTCTTGTAAGGCAGGCCTGGTGGTGACAAAATCTCTCAGCAATTGCTTGTCCATAAATGATTTTATTTCTTCTTCACTTACGCATCTTAGTTTGGCTGGATATGAAATTCTGGGTTGAAACTTCTTTTCTTTATGGATGTTGAATATTGGCCCCCACTCTCTTCTGGCTTGTAGGGTTTCTGCTGAGAGATCTGCTGTGAGGCTGATGGGCTTCCCTTTGTGGGTGACCTGACCTTTCTCCCTGGCTGCCCTTAGCATTTTTTCCTTCATTTAAACCCTGGTGAATCTCATGATTATGTGTCCTGGTGTTGCTCTTCTTTTTTTTTTTTTTTTTCTTCCTTTTTTTAAATTGTATTTTGGGCTCTGTTGTATATGTGCACATCCTGCATCCTAAGGATTCTTGCATAGGTACGTACATGCCATGGTGGTTTGCTCTCTCCATCTCCTGACCCCTCCATCACCTTCATCAGGCATTTCTCCTGGTTATCTCCCTCTCCATCATACCCCCTACTCCTGCTTCCCCTCCCCTCCACCCTCACATTTAGCCCAGTGAGTGTTGTTCTCTTCCCTGTGCCCAAGTGTTCTCATTGTTCATCACCCACCTATGAGAGAAAACATGCAGTGTTTGGTTTTCTGTTCTTGTGTCAGTTTGGTGAGAATGCTATTTTCTAGATTCATCCATGTCTGTACAAAGGATATGAACTCATCGTTTTTAATGACTGCATAGGATTCCATGGTGTATATGTGCCACATTTTCTTTGTCCAGTTCTATTATTGATGGGCATTTAGATTGGTTACAGGCCTTTCGTATTGTAAACAGTGCTGCAACAAACTTATGTGTGCATGTGTCTTCATAATAGAATGGTTCATAATCCTTTGGGAATATACCCAGTAATGGGATTGCTGGGTCCAATGGAATTTCTATTTCTAGATCCTTGAGGAATCTCCACACTGTCTTCCATAATGGTTGAACTAACTTACACTCCCACCAACAGTGTAAAAGTGTTCCTTTTTCTCCACATTCTCTTCAGCATCTGTTGTCTCCAGATGTTTTAATGATCGCCATTCTAACCAGTGTGAGATGGTATCCCAATGTGGTTTGATTTGCATTTCCCTAATAACCAGTGATGATGAGCATGTTTTCATATGTTTGTTGGCCACATAAATGTCTTTTTTTGAAAAGTGTCTGTTCATATCATTCACCCACTTTTCATTTTTTTTTTCTTGTAAATCTGTTTTAGTTCTTTGTAGATTCTGGATATTAGCCCTTTGTCAGATGGGTAGATTGCAAAAATTTTTTCCCATCCTGTTGGTTGCTGGTTCATTCTAATGATTATTTATTTTGCTCTGCAGAAACTCTTAAGTTTAATTAGATCCCATTTGTCTATTTTGGCTTTTGTTGCCATTGCTTTTGTTGTTTTAATCATCATAAAGTCCTTGCCTGTGTCTATGTCATGGATGGTGTTGCCTAGGTTTTCTTCTAGGGTTTTTATGGTGTTCTTATGTTTAAATCTTTAATCCATCTGGAGTTAATTTTTGTATAAGGTGTAAGGAAGTGGTCCAGTTTTAGCTTCCTACATATGGATAGCCAGTTTTCCCAACACCATTTATTAAACAGGGAATCCTTTCCCCATTGCTTTTCTCCGGTTTGTCAAAATCAGATGGCTGTAGACATGTAGCATTGTTTCCAAAGCCTCTGTTCTGTTCCATTTGTCTATATCTTTGTTTTGGTACCAGTACCATGCTGTTTTGATTACTGTAGTCTTGTAGTATAGTTTGAAGTTAGGGTTGCTCTTCTTAGGAATATCTTTGTGGTGTTCTCTTTATGTCCTAGATTTGAATGTTGGCCTGCCTTGCTATGTTGGGGAAGTTCTCCTGGATAATATCCTGACGAGTGTTTTTGAGCTTGGATTTATTCTCCCTGTCACATTCAGGTACAACAATCAAGCATAGATTCAGTCTTTTCACATAATTCCATATTTCTTGGAGGTGTCGTTCATTTCTTTTCACTCTTGTTTCTCTAATCTTGTCTTTTCATTTTATTTCATTGAGTTGATCTTCAATCTTTGATATCATTTCTTTTGCTTGATCAATTTGGCTATTGAAACTTGTGTATGCTTTACAAAGTTCTCGTGCTGTGTTTTTCAGCTCCATTAGGTTGTTTATGTTCTTCTCTAAGTTGGTTACTCTAGTTAGCATTTCGTCTACCCTTTTTTCAAGGTTTTTAGTTTCTTTGCATTTGGTTAGAACATGTTCTTTTAGCTCAGAGAAGTTTGTTATTACCCATCTTCTGAAGCCTGCTTCTGTCAATTTGTCAACCTCATTCTCCATCCTGTTTTGTTCCCTTGCTGGTAAGGAGTTGTGATCCTTTGGAAGAGGAGAGGCATTCTGGTCTTTGATTGTTTCATCCTTTTTGTACTGGTTTCTTCCCACTGTTGTGGATTTATCTACTTTTGATCTTTGAAGTTTGTTGATTTTAGATGAGTTTTTTGAGTGGACGTTCTTTCTGTTGATGTTGAAGCTATTTCTTTTTGATTTTTAGTTTTCCTTCTAACAGTCAGAACTCTGTGCTGTAGGATATCTGGAGGTCTACTCCCGACCTTGCTTGCATGGGAATCATCCTTGGGGGTTGCAGAGCAGCAAGGATTGCTGCCTGATATTTCCTCTGGTATGTTCACCCCAGAAGGGCACCTGCCAGGTTTTAGCCAGAGCTCTTTTGTATGAAGCATCTTTTTGGTTACACAGGGGTCAGGGAGCCGCTTAAGGAGGAAGTCTGTCCCTTGTCTGCCTGCAGAGGTCTTGCTGGGCTGTCACAGACTCAGTCCAGTTGCTGTGTAATCTTCCTCTGGCTTTTGTTTACACTGGTAGGTTTAGACACACCTCAGCAATGGTGGGTGCCCTTCCCTGCACCGAGCTCACTCATCCCGGATGGAGCTCAAACTGATGCCCTGGCTGCAAAATGCTCAAGTTAGAGGGCTTCAGTTTGCTTGTCTTTTTGGGAGTGGGACCCTCCCAGCCATATCACCTATCTCCCTGCTTTCAGCTCCCTCTCTTTCTGGGGATTGGGTAGCTCTGTCCCATAGGTGCTCTTGGTGCTAATCAAAACATCCATCCTGTTCTGTGCTGACAACCCATGGCACTGTCCCTAGCTGCCACTCATATCTGTGCTGGTAACTCATGGGGCTTTTCACCCCAGTTGGGATCTCCTGTTCTGTGGGTTGCAGAGGCTATGGGAGAAGTGCGGTATGGAACCAGAGTGCTGGGGCAGGGGGGATGTTCCTGATCCTATAGTCAGTTACACTTCCTGGTTGAGGCAGTGCCCCACCCTGCCTCGGTTTGCCCTCCTGGGGCTACACCCAGGGTCCAACCAGTCCCATTGAAATGAACCTGGTACCTAGGTTGGAAACGCAGAGATCACTCACCTTCTACATATCTCTCTCTGGGAACTGCACTCTGGAGCTGTTCCTATTCAGCCATCTTGGCAGAATACCCTATATTCTTTTCTATATAAGCTATTTTGCCTGTCAGCTCCTGTAACGTTTCTGTCCACATTCTTAATGTTGTTTCTGTAATTTCAAACATCTCAGCCTGATTCAGAACCCTTGCTAGAGGGCTAGTATGATCATTTGTGGAGAAGAATGCACTCTGGCTTTTTGAGCTATCAGATTTCTTTTGCTGGTTCTTTCTCATCTTTGTGGGCTGATGTTCTTTTAGTCTTTGAGGCTGCTGCCCTATGGATTTTTTTTTTCTTTTGTTTGATGACCTTGATAGTTTGATTGTAGTATTTGGTGGATACAGTCAACTTACATTGTTTCTGGAAGATATTAGGGGGGCAGGGCTCACTCTGATGGGTGGTAGCAGCCAAAGCATTTCATAGGACTGTGGCAGTGGGATCTGTTCTTGTTCACATGACCTACCAGCAGTGGCAGCAGCAACATTGTGGTGTGCATGCTTGTTGGTTACCACAGGATATTAGCAGACGACAGAGTGCAGGCCTCCATATAGGTGTTTGCAGGAGCAGAGGAGGTAGCATGGCTTGGAGAGTTGGGGAACCCTAACTTGTTACTATGCACCTGGTCATGCCAGTGTTGGTGTCAGCACAGGGGTGGGTGTTGGCAGGAGCAGTACTGTGTATGCCCCTGTGCACATTCACACAGCTGGACATGGCCTCTCAGGGTTGCAGAGGATCTTCTGTTTTCTGAGCCTAGTTTCATTCCAGTAGCAATATTGGCACAGAGGCAGGATGCTGATGGGGCAGTGCTGATAGGTTCTTTGCCCACAAAGATTCTGACTGCAATGTCGGTATAGTTGGGGAATGGGAGGAAGAATGCAGTCACACTGGCAGCAGTTGCAGTGCAAGGTGCACATCCACATGCACATACATACACTGGTGGGACAGAGAAGGCAAGGTCTATCAATGCACATGCATAGTAGCCAAGCAATGTGGGGTGTGTTCATGTGCTTGTGGGAAGCTGCAGTGCAGTGTAGGAGGGGACAGACTGTTATGTATCTGTGTGGGACCCTCTGCTGGAACTCTTTTCTGGTCATGTATGGTTCACCAGTGCAAGATTTACAATGTAGGCCCCCAGGGCACCAGAAGCCACACTGCAACATAAGCAGTCAAGCTGGAGCCATGGGAGAGGCCAGCAGATCAAGGGGTATTTAGGTTGGACTGTCAAGGGGTGTTCAGGTTGGACTGGCTTTGTGTAATAGGCCAGAAAATTCTATAGAGTTTAAGTCTGACAGTTCCCCTAGTGCCAAAGTTTCCTATGGGAGCAAGTTGAGCCTAAGAAGGTGGCTATCCATGGCTGTGCTCCCCTATAGACATTTCCACATCAAACACCCTGGGCTCTACACCAGCTGGACTGCTGTCCCTACCACTTCTCTAAATAACTTTCCCTGCCAAATCAGGTGTCCATGGTAGTGGAGGGGTCTCCTCATGTTAGAATTCCAGAAACCCCTTGTAGAGCATGTTGCTCCTTGCCAGTTCAACTCACTCATTCCCCTAGAGTTGTTGGAGGCCAAGAACAAGTTCTGATTCACCGTAGCCCTGTGCGTTGTTCTCAGCTTCCTCCTCATTCAGCCAAGCATCTATGTCTTCCCTCTGTCCACTCTTAATGCCATACCTCTGAAGATCTGTTAGGAGTGTACCAGTTGCCATGGTCCCTCAGTGGCAGCTGGTTCACCTGGCTGCATCTAGTCAGTCATTTTGCCCAGCTTCTCCAGTATTACAACATTTTGTTTTGTCTATATGTTTACTTTTGGCAGTGGAGGTTATACTTTCATTTGTCTTTGTGCTGTTTTCTATTTATATCAACTTTTATGTCAACTTCAAAGGAATCACTTTAGCATTTTTCACCACATCTATTGGTGATGAACTCTCGCTGCTTTTGTTTATATGGGAAATTATTTCCTTTTTATTTAGAAAGACAGTTTTTCTGGATATATTGTTGGTTAACATTTTTTTATTACTTCAAATTGTTCATATAATTCCTTTCTGCCCTGAAAGATTTCTGCTGATAAATCTACTGATAGTTTTATGGGACTCTCTTGTATATCATGAGTCACGTCTTCTTTCAAAATTTTCCCTTTGTCTTTGACATTTGACAATGTAGTCATAATGTCGTCAGTTTGAAGTCCTTTGGGTTCCTCTCAGTTGGGTTCTGTTGGGCTTCTTGAGTTTGGATGTCCATATTCTTTCTAGGATATTTAGGCTCTTGTTTCTTTAAATAAATGTTCTGTCTCTTTATCTCTCTTTCTTTTAATGTCATACTGCATATATTGGTCCACTTGATTTTGTCCCTTAAGTCCTTTTAGACTTTCTGCACTCCCTTTTATTCTTTTTGTTCCTCTGACTAATAATTTCAAATTACCTGGATTCAAATTTGCTGCTTCTTTCTTCTGGTTGATTAAGTGTGCTGTTGAAACTGTCTAGTGAATTTTTCAGTTTACTTATTGTATTATTTAGCTTAAAATTTTCTGTTTGGCTCTTTTTATGTTTTAAGTTGATTTGTAGTTTTCATTTTATTCATGTATTATATTTTTCTGAGCTTGGTGAGCATCTTTATGATGGATATTTGAATTATTTGTCAGATAATTCATATACCTCCTTTACTTCAGGGTCAGTTCCTGGAGACTTATTTTGTTGTTTTGGCTTTGTGCCATTTCCTTGTTTCTTTGTTTACTTTGTACCTTTGTGTTGGATCCATGCATTTAAGAAAATGGCCATTTCTCCAAGTCTTTATAGATTGGCTTTGTACAAGGAAAGACATTCACAAATCACCCTAATTAGAGATTCTGGGGTCCTCTTAGATATTTTCTGTGTATATTTCTTCTCTGGATTTGTGTATGCAAATTTTTAATTAAAGAGGTTTGCTAGTTCACATCTCCCTTTAGTTCTTAGTGTCCCCGAAGCTTCTAGAGTGTACTGAACTGTATCAGTGTTTTTAATCTAGTAAAATAGATTAAAGTCTGTTTTAAAGTAAAACAAGTTTCTTGGTCAGACCTCAAAAAGCTGTAACAATCGAACACACACTTTACTCTTCTGTCTCCCCTCCCAGATGGAGAAACCTTTGAGCTATGTTTGCCTCCGTCTTCTCTACTGCATGTCCTGTGGAGTAGCAACAAATCACTCACGTCTCTTTTGTTTTCAGCATTCCTCAGACATCTAGAGTATGACAGCCCTGTCAGCTTTCTGAGACAGACGAGACACAAACCTATTTCTCGAGCAGTTCCCCCAAAAAGACAGAATGTGGGACACAAACCACAATCTTTTCCCTTCCTAGAGAGAAGCAGAGACTTGGGAGTTTTCACTCTCTCATTCTATGCCAAGCTGGGAGGAGGGATTATGGTGAGTGAGTGCTTTTTGTCTAAACTTTCACCCTTGTTCTCAGTAACCTTAAACCTACCACACTTTTTCATGAGTTTCCAGATACAGGAAAGACAGAAATTATTTCCTCAGCTTTCCTCCCAAAAAATCTTCATGTTGGACATATGTTTCAGCCTTCTTCTTTTCCTCTCTAGGAAGAAGCCAAGAATTGGGAGTTTTCTTCTGATCATGCTATGCTGAGCTGGGCAGAGAGACCATGGCAAGTGAGTACCATGAATTTTCCTACTAGCTTCAGTGTGGCTGGTTTTTAGCTTGTCTGTGATGCAGGAGCCTTTTAACTAGTTTCTGAATTTCTCTTTAAGGGAGTTGATCTGTGTATTTCTGCTTGTTGAATTGGTGCCCCTTGGGGGAAGGAAGTTCTCTGATTTTCTATTTTTCTGCCATCTTGCTGACATTACCAGTCTATTTTATTATTCGTTTTCTTTTGTTTCTTCTCTTTCTTCTTCCTTCATTTATTTATTTATTTATTTATTTATTTATTTTTTTGGAGACAGGGTCTTGCTCTATTACCTAGGCTGCTGGAGTTCACTGGTGCAATCAGATCATTGCAGCCCTGAACTCCTGGGCTCAAGTGACCCTGTAGCTAAGACTACAGGCATGTGCCACCATACCTGGCTTTTTGTTTTATTGTTGTAGAGATCAGATCTCACCATGTTACCCAGGCTGGTCTTGAACTCCTGGCTGCAAACAATCCTTCCACCTCAGTCTTCCAAAGCACTGGAATTACAGGAATGAGCTACCATGCCTGGCTTTTTGCCTCTGTTTCTTGTTATTATTCAAATACTATTTCAGCCACACATTCTTTCTCATCTCCAACTGGGATTCTGTATAACATTTAGTTGTCCTATCTTTTGTTATTGTTCCACAGATCCCTGAGGCTCTCTCTCTCTCTCTCTTTTTTTTTTTTTAATACTATTTTCTCTTTGTTTGGATTGAGTAAGTTTTGTTGATATATCTTTAACTTAACTGATTCTGTTGTTTCTCACCTCTAATCTAGTATTGAATCCATCTGGTGAGTTTTTAATTTTATTTTGGCTGTTGTATTTTTTAATTCTATAATTTACATTTGATTCTTTTTAAAAAATATATATCCTATATCTTTGTTTGCCTTTGTTTAAAAATATTTTTAACTACTTGTTGAAGCAGCTTTTATGACAGCAGTTTTAGCACCTTTATCAGATGACTCCAACCTCAGGGTAATCTTGGTATTAGTGTCAGTTAATTATATTTTCTCTGTCAAATTGTCGTTTTCCTAGTTCTTTGCATAAGGAGTGATTTTCCATTTCATCATGGATATTTTGGTTACTATTTAGGAATCTCTTGATCCTGTTTAAATCTTCTGTTTTAGCAAGCAATGATCCTTTTTAGGTTTAGAATATAGGTTCTGGCCTACTATTGTGGAGTTTAAACTAATGACAAGTTTGTTTTCAGAGCCATTTTAATGCCATTATGATGTGTTTTGTCCTTCTGATGCTGCAGCTCCCATTCATTCCCTATTAGTGTCATCTGCCATGGCACAGAGTACTCTCCTGGGCCACCTGGTATCATTGAGCCACCTTATCCTGCAGAGTTTGAGGCAGAAGCCACTGGGACTGGGTCTTCTTGTGCCAGTCAATAGAGGACTAGGAAATGGTGGTGTCCTCCTGGGTTTGGAATGGAAATTCGGTGGGACCAGCCATTCTCTGCTTCCACTGCAAGTAAACCAGCCTGCAAGTGCCACAGGTGTTGAGCCAGGCTTGAGTTGAACTGCTGGAGCTTCTCTGCTACTATCAGTGAGCTTTCAGTGTTCTAGTTGTGGATCAGGACTTAAGATGGCACATCAGGGTTTGGAAGCTACTTATGTGAGCAGATCAGCTCACATGCTGATTTTCTTGTTTTGGGTGGAAGTTGGATCTTCCAGGACCTTTGCAGCTGCCTCTCTGTGCAAATCGGGTTATCTCCAGGAACTTTAGTTGTAGAACAGGAGTTGAGGCTCTCCACTAAGGTCCCTGTTGGGCTTTTTACCAGAACGTAGGCCAGAGAAAGCAGGGTTAAATTTGTTTTTGCTTTTGTTATTGTCGTTGTTGTTTATGCCTGTTGGCAGTTCTGTATTGCAGGTCTCCCCAATGCCTAGTTTGGGATATTTAGGAAGTAAAAAGAAAACTCAGGGAACTCATAGCACTCTTATTCCTCAAATCTTTTGGTTGCTAATTCATACACTTTCTTACCATATTTTAGAATCCTTTTATTATTTCTGTTCAGTAATTTTTAGAGTTTTTAGTTGAATTTAGAGGATGGCAGCATGGAAAAGCACACCATCTTGTTCCAGAGATTCTGGACATATTTTAATGGTAAAACTAACAAGATTTGGTGATGGATTGCATTTTAGATGTGAGAGAAAGATTCAATGGTTGTTTCAAGGATTTTATTCTAAGCAACAAAGTTAGTGGTGGCGCCATCTACCAAGAAGGGAAACAATGGAGGAAAACCAAGTTTGGTGGGATTAGGGCTGGGAATTAAGAGTTTGTTACATTTTAGATATGTGAGTAATAATGTCTAATACAAAGTTGGATTTACCAATATGTATTTCAAGGATGGAGATATAACTTTGGAAGTCATCAGATTATAAATTGTAAATACAGTTATGAGACTCAGTATGATGACTTAGTGCATTAGTATAGACAGAGAAGAGAATAAGTCCTAGGACCAGCTCTGGAACATTCCAACATTTATAGTTCAGGAAGTAAAAGAATCTAATGAAAGAGATGAGAATGAGTAGCTGGTAAGGTAGGAGGAACATAAGAACAAATTATTGTCATGAAATCCAAGTGAAGTAGATGTTTCCAGAATGAGGGAATAACCAATTGTCACAAATGTTGCTGAGAGATCAAGCTAGATGTAGTTTGAGAATTGAATATAGGATTTGGCAATATGGAGATTATCAGTCATCTTAGTGAGAGAGATTTCAGTGGAGGCTTGAAATCAAAGTGATAGAAGTGTGTTCAGGAGAGTGACAATACATGGTATGGAGACAGGGAGAACAGACAGCTCTCTTGAGGAATTTTCTTTTGTTTTAATTTTTTGGGTACATGGCAGGTGTATATAGTAATTGGATACATGAGACATTTTGATATAGGCATGTAACACATAGCAATCACATTGTAGAAAATGGATCATCCATACCCTCAAGCATTTATCCTTTGTGTTAAAACAATCCAATTATACTTTTTAAGTTAATTTAAAATGTACTAATAAATTATTATTTGCTATAGCCACCATTTTTTTGCTTTCAAATATTAGATCTCATTCATTCTTTCTAATTTTTGTACCCATTAGTTATCCCCATTTTCCCCAAAGCCCCCCACTACCCTTCTCAGTCTCTGGTAACCATCCTTCTACTCTCTATCTCCACAAGTTCAATTGTAGACCCCACAAATGAGTGAAAACATGTGATGTTTCTCTTTCTGCACCTGGCTTATTTCACTTTACATAATGATTGTGTCATGTGGTTTGAGTTCCAACTGAGTGGCAGTACAAGAGAACACTAGGTAGACTTGTAAGGTTTTTAACTTCAGTCTCTAACACTGGGATGGCACCTCTGGACCCACCTGGGACCAGAGGGACCTCACTGCCCCGAAGGAAAAAATACAGCCCTGGCCTGGCTTGCTTTGCCACCTTCTGATTAAGGAGACCCAAGGCCTGGAGCGAACATAGGCAGTAGCCAAGGAGTGGTTACATCAGGCCTTGGGCAAGACCTAGTGCTGTACTGGATTCAGATCTGACCCAGCACAGTCATAGTGGTGGTGGCCACAGGGGTGCTTATGTTATTCCACCCCTACTATAGGTTGCTCAGAGTGCAGAAAAAGACTCTGCATGGGAGAAAGTAAGGGAAGAGTGCAAGCATATGCCTGGTAATCCAAAGAATTTTTCTGAATTTTGTCCAGGGTTATCAAGGCATTACCTCTATAAGTCTGCAAGAACCACTGCGTTACTGGGCTGGGGTTACCCACAAAAGCAGATACAGATTAGAACATAACATGTAAATACTTTCAAATATCCGAAAATCCTTCCCAAGAAGGAAAAGTACAAACAAGCTTATACAGTGAAGACTACAATAAATCCTTAGCTCTTCAATACCCAAAAACCAAAGAAAATATACTAGCATCAACACTACTCAGGAAAACATTACCTCACCAGTTGAACTAATTAAGCCACCAGGGGCTAATCCCAATAAAGAGATATATGATCTTTCAGACAGATAATTCAAAATAACTGTGTTGAGGAAACTCATAGAAAAATTCAAGATAACACAGAGTTGGAATTCAGATTTCTCTCATATATAGTTAACAAAGAGATTAAAATAATTTTAAAAAATTAAGCAGAAATTCTGGAGCTGAAAAATTCAGTTGACATACTGAAGACTGCATTAGAGTCTCTCAACAGCATAATTTACCAAACAGAAAAAAGAGTAATGAACTTGAAGACAGACTTTTTGAAAATACAGTTAGAGGAAACAAAAGAAAAAAGAATAAAATCAATGAAGCACATGTATAGAATCTAGAAAATATCCTCAAAGGGGCAAATCTAAGAGTTATTGACCTTAAATAAGAAGTAGAGAAAGAGAGAGATAGGGGTAGAAAGTTTATTCAGAGATAATAAGAGAGAAATCCCAAACCTAGAAAAAAGATATTACAGGAAGTTTATAGATCACTAAGCAGATTTAACTGAAAGAAGACTACCTCAAGGCATTTAATAATCCAACTCCCAAAGGTCTAAGATAAAGAAAAAATTCTAAAAGCGGCAAGAGAAAAGAAACAATTAACATACAGTGGAATGTCCAAATATCTGGCAGTAGATATTTCAGTAGAAACCTTACAGGCTAGGAGAGAGGGCATGATATATAAGAAGTGCTAAAGAAAAACAAAAAAAAACAAAATAAAAATAAAACTCTCACTCTATAATAGTATCTCTGGTGAAAATATCCTTCAAACGTGAAGGAGAAATAAAGACTTTTGAGCAGTGCAACTACGGTGGTGGCAGCGGTGGCAGCGGTTGCGATTTGGAGCCATTGAGACGCCTCTGTGGCAGCTCATGGCACAAGTGGCTTGCGTGGATGTGGGTATAGGCATCCAGTGAGTAACCTCAACCTTGGAATCCATGGCCCCAGCAGGTGTGTCCAGAAGCCCCAAGGCATCCTCCCCCACCCATTGGCCCGGGAGCACAG